TCCTGTGTTTGGGGTCGGAATAACTTACATGAGTACAATGACCATGAGGGGAAATATTTCCTGTCTTCGGACTTCTATCTATGTCAAACCCGACATTCATAGATCAATGCAACACACTGCAAAGATTAGTAAAACCACGCAAACCCTTTTCGTAAGACCCTTAAACACTAAACCGTCAGCGCCCCTATACAGCAGAAAACTCTATACAGTATTAGGTACTGGGCTTTCTGAATGCTTCCGGCAGCCCCAGAAGCCCAAAAGTCTTGGCGAAAATCCTAACCCACTCAACTCATAAGCTTAAACTTGAAGGCAAAGAAACGAAGGATCCTCGATCAGAAAGGCCAAGGCAAGCAAGGCCTAAAGCCTGAAGCCCAAGCCCTAAAGCGATTAAGGGCGAGTCCATAATGAAGCTAAAGAAAAACATGGGCTCCTGGCATTTTAGGGTAAAATCTTCCGCAGTCCCCACATAATTAAGCCACCAAGGGCCCCAAAACCCTATCCTCCTCATTGAGCCCCCTTTCTTAGACCAAGGAAAGGTGGTGCAGACCACGCTCCAGGGGGCAGGTGCGACGAACCCATTCGAGCTCCGCCGCTCGGGCACGGAAGCTTCTAAAAGTTGCTCAGATCGCTGCAAAGGGTTCGGGAGTTTGGGCTTGGGGTTCGGAGTTTAAGTTCAGGGTCTAGGGGCTAGGGTTCATGGCGTGTAGACACAAGCTTCTAAAGCGAATATCCCCCTATGAGGAGATTGGGGCTTGGGGCTTAGAGCGCAAACTCGTGGCTTACTAGCTGAGTATGTAACGTGACTTGCTAGCTGAGTAAGTTGCCCTTTCAACTGTTCCGGAAAATTCAGTCCTGCCGTGATGAAATTGCTACACTGTTAACATTTGGGGGGCGGGGAGTTCAGTAAATTTGCTTGGTGTAAGCTCTTTGTAACATTCCTCGACGAAGGCATGGTTCAAGAGTGTACGTTAACACGGGTTGTTGGTTCCCCGGGTTTAGGACCGTTTAGGGTTTATGGTTACGGTTACGGCCTAGATGTTTGGTCGGCTGTTCGAAGTCCTGACAGTTGTTGTTGCAGGCGTTTCCAGTATAACTCTTTCCCTCACAATGAATGAAGTAAGCCCTGGTATCTGAACAAGCTAGCGGAAAGGACCATGCGGTGTTGCAGTCGGTAAGTGCAGGGCACATCGTCTAAACCCGAAACCTTTGAAGTTTGGATCAGCCCTTTGCCTTCTAGAGCTGCACCAAAAAAATGTAGTGTTAGAAATACTTAGTAGCAATCAGAAGTAACAGCAGAGCAGACTTCAGGGCCCCGGGCTCCGGGGCCCTCCCCAAGGCAAACAAGGGCGAGCATCAAGAGCACGGGGCAAAAATCCGTCAATCTCGGCTCTAGGGCACACTTACACCTGAACCCTGGCCTGGTCCCAGAAGTAAGAGACCACAAGCCCGACTTGAACATGAACCGTGATGGTGACCGACATTGCCATATGCTTGCTACCTGCGTCATTTTCACTAACATCGCCACCATAATCATCTTCTTCTCATTCATCATGTTGTCCTTGTCAGCAGCCTGCTCCTCGGCGTCAGCTTCATTCTCACCATCATCTTCATCACCATCACCATCATCGTCGTCATC